ATATATATATATATATATATTATAATATATATATACATTATACTGGTACCAGCCCCCCATGGATCCTTGTTGAGTGAGGACGTTACAGAAACATTGCAGCGTAAAGAACAGAGGACTGTGCACAAAGCGTACCACATAAATCAAGAGATGTCACACCTTTCTACGTATGTACCGAAAGGTAATGTTGCAGGGGATAACCGGATTTCATAATGTTTTCTCGTTAAGCGGTTCTACGTTTGTGTTTTGTGCGCGAGGCTTCAATCGGCTGGGATTTCCCGGAAGGCGGCCGGTCTGACGTGACCAGCACTCCGTGGGCCGGAGCCCACGGTTTGCCCGCCATTTCCTCCACGGCGTCGCTGTATTCACGGAACGCTGCCTCCAGAAGCGCAGCGTTCGGCTGCTGTGAACCGCACGGCGGTGATTAAGAGGGTATGTGCTGGATGTAACGGTCGCAGGCAGCCAGACACTTACGAAACGAATAGTTTGCAGCGCCAGTTTGGTAAACAGCTGCTGCAATCGAGATGTCACCGGGTACAGTGGTCGCGGCTGGAGTTCTGGAGTGTAGTTTTCCGGAGTTGTCAACACCGACTTCTTGCGTGGTTGATGCAGCGTCGGAGGAATCCCGGTGGGGATGGAAGGGAGGCAGGGAGGGGGTCGCGTGATTTTGCATCGTTTCTTTCCTCGCGGCGTCATAGGGTTAATTTTAAATGCTGACTAGGGTTGAGGAGAGATACCCTCCCCACCCCCCGCTCCCCTATTCGCTGCCCTTGGGTCTATGCGCTCTATCCCTTACGAACTGAAGCAACACTGCCTGGCGAGATCATTTTTGGATCGCGAGATCTGCAGACCAAGTAGTGGGAATTCCATTGGAGCTGAGGTGGAAGTGGCGGGATTACCCGAAGGGTGTCGCTTTGGTATTCGATCCTGGGTTTGTCCATGAGCCGCCGGAGTTCGCGAACATCCCTGCCGTGGTGAGCTGGAATGCCCCGAGCTCGGTGTTGCGAGCATCAACACGGAAGCAGGCAGCATTCAGCACTGCTAGACGTGGTGTCATGCGTGCCCCATGCATCGTACCCGCTACCGGGCACGCGTCGCCACCTGTTGTCCTGCAGAGGTCCTTCCGTGGCCCCCGTGATGAGCGTGACTGCGGCGGATCACACTAGCCGTGGGCAGCGCCTGACTAGATGGATTGGGCTCATGTAGAGGGATCATCTCGGGGGGGGGGGGGGGGGGAGGTAACCCTCCGGGAGCCTTGCGACCGTCCCCCTAGCGGCAGTGTTTATACCCCAGGCGTTTAATCCGGTTTATCGCGTGGGCTATTCTGGTCGCATTGCAATTCAGATTGTGGTTTGAGGACGTCAAGCCTCGTGTCGGGAGAACAGCTGCCGCCAGGGTAGTCCCATCGTCAGGTTGGTGGTTTAAGTCTACTTTACACTTGAACCGCTCTTTTAGCGGCGGGATCTGTGACCATTTGGGCTTGATTGTTTTTAAAAAATGCTATGAGGTATACATTGTGCGGGTCTGGCCAGCTAGCTAGTCTTCTGTGGTGCTGAATAGATGAATTAACACTTAACATTTAGTGATGCAAACTCTGATGATTGCATATTAAGTTTTGAAATCACGCATTGTTTCAAGAATGGCGTGCAGCAACTCTAGAATGCACCCAGTTGGCCTGCACCTTCGTTCATGCTGATGGCCTACAGCACGTCACGGAGGACAGCAGATGACTTCCATGTAGTGTACCTACAGCGTTAGTGCGTGCAGTCAAAGCCGTTCTTGACGCAGCTCTGCGCCGCGCGCCGCAGGACCCCGTCTGGCAGAGTCCGGAATGAACAGAAACGCCGGCAACCTGCCGAAGGCCACGAATGAGGCCGAGCGGCAGCGGAACATCCGGGCCGGCTCCCAGATCAGCGAGCTCAACAACCCCTGCCTGAGCGTGAGCAGCGTCCCCCCCCCCCCTCCCTGCTCACGTCGACTCCGACCCGCTGCATGGTGATGAGCCTGCTGGTCTGAAACCTGGCTTATTTGTCCGTCGGCGTGCTGGATGCCCCCCCCCCCCCCCTGTATGCCCGTTGTTCTGCTGTAATCGGTTTCATGCGTCGCTTTGGTAGACCATAACGCAGAGCATTTTGATCCGCGACCCGTGGACTTTTTACAATTACCTGCTTGCCTGAGGGTATGCCGCACTAGTGTTTGTTCTCATTCGGGCGTGCCGTGTGTTACCAAAAATCGTGTAAAGGCCTGGTATATGACGTTGTATACAAACCTGTTGGATGCTAGATAAAGAATGAGTCCAAATCGCGGAATGTGATGATGTGTTGGCCCCGCGCCAGAGGCGTCAATGGTTTGGTTGTATAACGCTGACAAAACGACGTTGTAATGTAGTTCGGGCTAGTGTGAGGGATAGCGACAAATGTGCACCTGCTTAAAAAGTTTGCAGGCGGGGGGGGGGGGGGGGGGGGAGCTATGGCACGGGAGATCCAAGCAACGCAGTCATGATTAAGCCACTTGCTTGGCAAAGTCGGACCGGTGTTGGACATGAAAGTCATCTATTAAGTATGTGTGCATTGTTGTTGCAGGAGCAAAGCCAGGTTCAAAAGTGCATGGACAAGTCAGGTTACGACAAAGAGAAGTGTCAATTACACATGAACAATTACAATGCGTGCAAGAGGTTCTGGGTAAGCTCTTACGCCGTCTGACGCTGATGTGACGATTGGTCCGCTCCTGATGCTGGCTATCTTAGTTAGCTCGCGTCAGTACAGCAGTAGTATCTGCCTTGCTATGTCGGTACTCGTTCCATGTTCTATGGTCCAGTTCTGTGGTCCGAAGCTCGTCCTGTCAATGGTTTTTTGCCCCGTTCGTGCCCAAATACGGCAACCTTCCGTGACAAACGCACTGAGCGATTGCGAGCGATTGATGTTCTCCCAGATCCACCAATGGCGGTAGCTCTTGCGGTTAGCGTAGGCGACGGCCTGACGGGCAGACACGGAGAGAGGTACTGGGGCGCGCTGACGATAGGCGGCAGGGAGGTGTGCTGAGAAGTGTTGACGACAGGCTTCTCTGGCGGGAGGGAGGTGCGGAGGCGACGCCGGAAAGAGGGCCTAGAGCCGGAACTTCCTCCCCCCGAGGAGAGGGCCGCCATCAAAAAGGAGTTCCTCTCCAAGGGTCATTTATAGTATACGGGATTCGCGGGAAGGTGCGCGGCGTCGTGCAGGCTGCTTGTGGTTGATGATTGTGGAGCATGGAACGCGTGGTGTGATAGAATACATGCGTTTGGTACAGATCACAACTTTGTGGCTGTTTGGAACTGGGGCTAGCGGAGACCAGTCATGTAGCCACCGTGACAGACTAGTGCGCGATTCTGATGTGGCCGTCTTTGTTGTGTGTATTCAGCTGCTGTTGAGGTATTTATTCGGCTGCACCTAGTTTTCTTCGATTCCCCGCGGTGCCCGCCCTTCGTGCCAGGGTGAGAGGCAGGCAACGCCATATAGCCCCAACAGCTGAGTGTGTCGTGAAGCCCCAATGACACGCACACACGCACGCGCACGCGCGCAAGCACACGCACGCACGCACGCACGCACACACACCAACACACACACACACGCACGCACGCACGCACGCACGCACCACGCGCGCACACCACACACACACACACACACCACACACACACACACACACACCACACACACACACACACACACACACCACACACACACACACACACACACACACACACACACACAGTTTCCTTTTCGTGGATTTCGCTATAGGTCATTCTCTTGACTTGCTCGTCGTGATATTATGGTACGGCAGCTGTGCCCACGCCAGCACCGCCCACCTGGGCGGGTGCAGCATTGGCACTACGTGCACGCCTTTATATCCATACTTGGCGTTTTGGTACAAATAACGCAAGGCTTGAAAGTGGCGTGCCGGCTGGTAGCACTTCGCGTCGGGTCGGGTGATGGTTCATGTATCGCTCGTTCAGTGACGTCACATGTCGATGCGAGCAGGAAACCCCGTGAAAAACCAGATGCCGCCCCAGGGGGATCAGCACACTTCCCTGCCGAATGGCCGCTCGAGTGTCACCTAAAAACCCCTGCTCTCCACTTGTTTTAAGGCATACTTCAGCTTGTTGCGGACGTCGCAATCCACGGCATTCTAATCAACAGACCACATCATCTGCGACATGCCACGATAACCTGTCACATTTACCACGAGAGGGCGGGCGGCGTGTGCGGTCAGCGGGCGCCGAGGCACGGGCGCCAGTTGGTCCCGGCGCAGGTGGGCCGTGCAGCAGTAGCGCGACGGCTCGCTGCCGAGCGGGGCGGCGCAGTAGCGACACCGGCGCGCCCCTGGCGCGTGCGGCGGCTCCGGACCGCGCCGGTCGGCGCTCGCGGCGCCTCCGTCTGCCTAGGTGTGGTGTGTGTGGCAGGGTGTGGCGGGCCACACGCCGCCACACAGAGCGGCCGGCTACAACCAGCGAGCCTGAATGCCGACTACCACCTCAGCGTTGCGGGCTGGCGCATCACGAGTACATCAGCAAGTTATTGCCAGAAGAATCTCCGACAAATGGCCTCCCATGCCGCGAGTCATCGCCGTCGGCGTGTGCGGGTGCTGGCGCGGACCGCTGCAGTCTGGCCGGCGCACTGCCGCAGAGTCCGGCAGCAACATTCCGCCCGTCTCCCCGCCCGCCGGACGCGCCACCACACACCGGTCATGTACACCAACTGTATTACATCGTTGGGTGTGAACATCTACTCATTGTCGGTCGCACACAATACAAACGTCGCATTCGCGGGAGACCATGGTCAGGGCCCGGCGCCGGACGGACGCGAGGCCGCGGGGTACGTAACGCGGGTCCCGTCCAGCGCGACTGCACTGGACACGCCTGCAGCGCCTGCCGACGCCGGAGCGCACGGTGGGCGGCCGGCCGCTGTGTCCACATATCACGCCCTGGCCGGCCAGCGCAGCCTGACCGACCGCATCTGCGAGTACAGACGCGGCCCCAGGAGGAGAGGAGCACGGCTTCTGAGGAGCTGTTTGCAGGGGAGGAGGGCCGGCGCTCGGCGATCACTGAGGGACCAAGCCGAAGAACGGGGCTGTTGGGGCGCCCCCGGCCGGATGGAAAGGACGAGGGAAGACACACCGTGCGTGGGCGAGAGCTCGAGCTCCAGGGAACGAGACGAGCGCCGCCACCTTGGGTACGGTTCGGGGGAGATTGTTTGCGGTCAGACGTACGCGGCGTGCCCTACGTCGCCGCGGGACGACAGCGTGGCCTCTAAGGAGGTCCGCTGTCCCCGAAGTCACCTCATCCATCGGTCTGGCGGGCCCTGAAGCCCGCGCCCACCTCCGCCAGCAGCCGGCCGGTCTCCGAAACACGGAGGAGACCTCGTCGCTTCTCACCCCGTGCATTGGCGGGCATGCCATAGCCCCGCACGGACCAACTGGCCCAAAGCAAGGCACGCCGACATGACATTTCTAGGCACGTCAGCGAGCTCGTGTTCAGGAGCGACGACGGAAGAGGAGAAACACATTTGCCACCAGATTATTCGACTAATAAATACACGGCACAGACAAACGTAACGCATTGAGCTCGTCGCTCCATTGGTTATGGACTGGATCAAATGTGGCTTCGTCCAGTTGAGCTGTGCACCACGCGGATACGCTACAGAAGTATGGGGGCCAGGGGTAAACGCGCGGGTGAAGACCCGCAGAGACCCGATCGGCGGGTAACCGACAGGTGAATAAGTACCTACGCTGACCGGCCAGGTCAGCCCAGCCGTCGGTGGGTTGATTGCCCTCGACCGTCGGCGCGAGCTGCTCCCCGCCCGCCGCGCCGGCAGCGAGCGCCTCTCACGCGATCGAGGACCGACGACGGGGCGGGGCGGGGCGGGGCGCGCGGCCGCGGCCCGACCGGGAGGGGAGTCCGGGAGTCGCCGGGGGACGGACGGACGGACGGACGGACGGACGGTCGGTCGGACGGCCGGTCCGAGCGTCACCCTCACCCGGCCGGCGGTCCCTGCTTTGGCCGAGCCGCGTCGGGCCGCGCTGACTCCGAGGGGTGGGTGGAGCCGGCCGGCCGGCCGGGCGTGCGGCGTGGGGTGCGCCGCCCATGGGGTCCTCCCACTCGACCGCACCAAGCCAGCGGCTCACAACTGGACCCGAGTGGCGTCGCCCACACGCGCCGCGCACTCCCCGTACGAGAGTGGTGTCGCCCACACGCGCCGCGCACTCCCCGTACGGTGCACGGCTCGGCGACGATTGTGGGAGAACATGTTAGGAAACGGCACAAGTTTGAAGCAAAGAACGGACTCACTGGACGCGCAAACCGAACAGCCGTCCAAAATGACGTAGTCAAGGACCGGGCGTCCCAAATTATGCGGTAAGTCACGAGCTAATGGAACAAATTTGTAGGATAAGCACCCGTACTGTGAGTAGAACAAAACATTTAAAGTCCGCGAGGACGAACATGAAACATTGCAAAACAATACAATATACCCATTTCATGCGCGAATCCAGTAAGTATTTCCTGCACTTGTTTGATATGAAGCCTCAGGCGAAAGAGTAGAATAAATCTTACGCAGCAAACAGGACGAAGGACACAAGAGGCGAGACCGGGAAAATTCGGCCCTGAGAAATTATGCTAAAAGAAAACAATGCAGCCAAATATTGAATTACACAACCTCGATCACTGCGACATTGCCCGCAGATTCATGCCGCGAGACTATCACTTCGCCGCTGATCCTGACTCCAGCATCAAGACCTAGACTCGCCGAACATCCTGCCTCTAAACGGACAAAGACGGGTGCGTCTGGCACTTGGAGCGCTTCCCACCGACTCCAGCGCCAGGGCCGGTCAATTGCGACGGCTGAGACCACAGGCCGAGGCGCGGCTTACCGGCCCGTCGCGCCGGGGAGCTGCGGGCAGCCCCTCAGCCCGAGCAGGCGGCGCCGGCCCGCGCTGATCGACTCCCGCGAGGAGCAGGCGTGACACACAGGACCAGACACCGCACCCGACGGCAGGTCTGCCAGCTGGACAAAGCACACTGACCGTGGAGAGTCGCGAAGCGCGACAATTAGGAACGTCTGCATACCGTCGCCAGCGGACCGAAACGCGACAGAAACGGGAGCACTGCAATCAGAGTACGAGAAAATTTGACCACCAAAGAGTGCCGACGTCTGCACCAATAGCTTAGGATGCCACAAACCATCAAAGGCCGGCAAGAACATCCCAAAGCTCCAGAGAACGGAGGAAACGGATGGAACTTCGGTTAACAACAGGAGTATCTGAAAGCGCCGTTAAACGAATGAAACGTTTAAAACCTTTAGCGAATAATGATAACTTAAAACAGTGAATATATAAGCCTCGAATAGTGATCAGCCTCAAACGAACGATCACCTGAAACTGCCCTGACAGGATGTCTTTCCACGCTATATGATTGGAAGGCAAGCATGAAAGCTTCGATGGGAGCAGAGGTAAGATGATCTGGGCCTGCAGTGGGCGATGCTGCTGGCTTTCGGAGATGGCGATCGATCGGGAACTCGCTCACAAACTTGACGCAACGCGTCACCTGTTTCCACACTCCACGCCTTTCGACCCCAGACAAGCTGCAGTGGAGGGTCGAAACGCCCGGCGACTAGAAACGCACATAACACGGGGAGCTCAAATGGGCTCGAATCGATACTAAGCGTACCGAATCAAGCCAGGTCAGCTCCAGGCTAAAATCAAAGGTCCGGACGATACCGAACACCAGAAGATTATCATACGAAATGATAAGATTGGTCGCACACTCGGTAACTACCCGGATCACATAAATCCCACCAAATTTAAGCATCCCAGATATCTGCTCCCCACTAAGTCAATGTAATTCGGATACCCAATCGAATGATAGTCAACATAACCAAAACTGTTGCAGTGTTTTCAAACGTTTAAGACCGGCTTGCGAGGTACAGCGCGGTCTTCTGTGGCCGCCAGCGCCCTCCCTCTCGGTCCGTGTCGCCACACGGTGGGCGGCGGTGGCGCCGACCGGCCGCGACCCCGGCGCGCTCGGAGCGAGAGGGCGCTGCGGTCGGCTGTGACCGGCCGGTGCGCGCCAATGTCAATCTTCTAGCGTTCAGGCATCGTCGGCTAATAGTCAATCGGTCCGTTCTTTGACTGTCAGCGCCGGAATGTTGAAGTGGTGACACATCTGCCGCACCTGCCGACAGAGACACGATGTCAGCGCCGGTGTCGAGGACGCACGCCGCGGATCGCCGTGGTTGGCTGCTGGCAGCGAAAGATCAGGCCACGTCCATTCTGCAGTCCTGACAATTATTGCGCGATTTACCGTAACCAGCGAAATACTGCGACAAACAAATGGTCGAAAGATGGTGAAAGACGGCACTCGATGCCAGGAATTCTACAATTGTGTCGCGAGTTTCATCAACAGAGGGAAGAATGATTGTGATGAAAAAGCATGCCTCCCGCACCTTAACATTCCAACACGCGCCATGCTTCTTTGGGTCATACCCCTCATCCATTAGCACATGGAATGTCTAATGTGAGCACTGCTGCTCAGGGCAAGCGTAGCCCACTAAGCCAGCATCGGTGCAACCCGTGGCGTCCAACTTACCACACACACTCCGTAGTGTATGTGAGCGATCGTGACGAAAACAGCCAGCGACCACAGTGCTGCCATCTCTGCGGGCGTCGTGGAAGGCGCGAGTAGCGCCACGCCCGCCGCGAGCGCCACCGGCGCCAGCAGTTTGTTAAGCGCCTGTACGTCATTGTTGGTCATCTGCGCCACGATCAGGCGACACTGGAACGGAACGAGACCGGTACAGGTTCGGAGGAGATCACAAGACGGCGCAACGGAGCAGAATCACGGACGGAGAGACGGCCAGGCAGCGCTGCAGCGGAACAAAATCAGTGCAGACTGGGAAACGATCCGAGAGTACTGGAACAAAACAGCCAAAATAGAAACAACTGGGTTATTATGGAGTGCAACAAGACAACACCTCCAGCTACAAGCCATCGGATGGTGCTGCATGTTGCAACAACACAGAACGGATACACCGCAAACAAGATAAAAACACACGTTATGTCAACTCAAGACCAGAGACTAGCTGTACCACCAAGGAGTGAAAAACCATGTCTTGCATTTGTAACAATGACAAACATGGCTTTTGCCGTTGGATTTCCGAGTTAGAACTGGGGGACAATAGCGTGTCACCCAACGGTGATAAGATGAACTGTTCCCGCATTCACAGCAAAGCTAAACGCCCGCGTAGAATACCCCCACTTGTCTCACCGAAAAAAACAAGTAAAAAACTGACCTCGCGGGGGTAACAATTTTGATCGTTTATCCCACGCATCGGCTGCCATGGCTGGAGCCATTTTTTGGCATCCCAGGAATGTCACAGCTACACGTGACATGCATAGCAAAAACCGTTTAAACCCTAAGCACGGCCAGCCTCTGACTTTGACCTGAGGTTTCTGGACTCGCACGCATCCGTATCCCCGGCACGAACCCCTCTGCCCCATGCCTTCACAATTGCAACTAGCCGCGTGCGACAGGCCACAGGCACATTCCAGTTGCAGCTATACTCGTTAACAGCATGACCACTGCACTCAAGCCGTGCCTCCACTTACGCAGATGTTGGAGAACACGGCACCGATGGTGAAGCTGAAGAGCCGCAGGTCGGTGTTGATGATGTCGCACGGGGAGAACGCCACCCACAGCGAAGTGATGACCAGCAGGATGGCCGGCGAGAGCAGCGGCAGCAGCGAGGAGCCTAGGCTGCGGCCCTTGCCCGTACCGTCGCGGTAACTCCTGTCAGAGGAAGGCGCCGTCAGAGCACACTCCTGTCAGAGGGAGGCGCCGTCACAGCGCACCCCTGTCAAAGGGAGGCGCTGTCAGAGCGCACTCCTGTCAGAGGGAGGTGCCGTCAGTGCCGCCAGAACGCACCCTGTCAGAGGGAGGCGCCGTCAGTGACATCTTCCTGTTTCGGGGGAGGGGGGGGGGGGAGGCGCCATCGAAGCACAGCTATCCGTTGTCGCCCATCATAGAACGGTCGGCCGCTGGTTGCCGTTTATTCGTGAAGCCGGATCCCACGTTAAACGTCGTGTTTTTACGACACCCTCTCCGCTGGGGCGTCACCCAGTCGGAGAGATTGCCGCAGTCCGACGACGGCCCGAGAGACGCTGCCGCTGTAGACGCTGCCGCCTCGAGTCATTGTCAGCGGCTTATTAACACCGATAAGGCACGCCTGAACAACAACGGCACGGCACGTCTCAAAGTGTCACACGCTCCGCCACGCCCAGCGGCGGACCGACGTCGAGTCCCGACAGCACTGCAGCAGGTCAGCACGGGCCAAACAATACGCCCAAACTTCATCGGAAGTGGCGCGATCATACCGCGGCACCACGCCGGGGCTTCGTCGTGACATCAGCGGCGCTGTATGTAGCATCGCCCTGAGGTCGGAGCGCTCCGCCGCCCATCTCAACAGGCTGATACACAACTTCTTCAGCAGCCTCACCGCGCCAGATGCCGCGGACAAGCGCTGGACCGCGCACTCACTTGTAGACGTTCCACAGCGTCATGGGCAAGCTGGTGCCCAGCGTGCCCAGCCACATGAGGATCTCGAACGAGGCGCCCGCCGTGATCACGGGCGTGCCGTCCGCCGCCCGGTACAGCGCGAACTTCCACAGCGTGTAGTCGCCGAAAAACGTGACCAGGTACAGCACCAGGATGCCCTGGCGGCGGCGTGGCAGGGGGCAGGGCTGGTCGGTCGCGCCAGGGTCGACAGGGAGGTCACCACGCGGCCCACGGATCCGCTCCCTTGCGTCGCGGTACTCCTAATGGGCGGTGGTACGCTGCGCACGTCACGACCCACGCGAGAGTCGCGCCAGGGTTGACAGGGAGGTCACCATGCGGCCCACGGATCCGCTCCCTTACGTCGCGGTATTCCTAATGGGCGGTGGTACGCTGCGCACGTCACGACCTACACGAGACGGCATGTTAGCCAGCATACTCCACGACCTGACGGACGGGCTGGCAGACATCGTACCCTCTTCGGTCGAAACATATCAAGCAGTGAGCACTGGGACACGCTGACAACATATACAAAACCTGTACTGCAAAACATCGGCGCATATCATTAGCACATATCAAGGGATCGTAGATTAGACCTGTCACCCCCTCTATTCAGAGCAACGGCGGGGCAGGGCGGGTCCAGTGGACATAACGGGCCTCCTATGTTCGCTCTCTTACCAGTTGTGACACGTCGTAGCCCCAGGGCAGGAAGAGCAGGCCCGTGTTGTACTTCTCCCAGTGCGACAGGAAGAAGCACATCCACACGCTCCACATGCAGTAGAACATGCGGATCGACGGGATGCTGTACTCGAGCTTGCCGAATACAGAAAAGAGCGTGATGGGGATGAAGAACGAGGTCCACGAGTCGAGGCCGTGGTCGAACAGCTCGCCCAGTGGCCCGCTCACGCCCAGCCGGCGCGCCTGCTTGCCGTCAATGCCGTCTGCGCACAGAGGGAGGCAAGGCCGGTCAGCCAACGCACGCCATCGTCTGAGGAGCGGCGCAGCGGCGCTCGACGCACGCCGTGGGCGGTGGTGGAGGTAGCTGGTTGTCAGGCGCACACACGGGGATATTTCCGCCCCGGGAGGGGGGGGGGGGGGGGGCGAGGCGCACGGTTGGCAATATCCCAAACCAAGATCGAAACTGCAAAAAGTCAGGCATAAACTCCCTTAATCTCAATGAATGATTATAGGGGTTTATAGGAGTTGATAGAGACCCGAGCCAACAATCGCGCCATAGGCTAACATATCAGCTCAAATCCCCGAACGTTGCCGAGCACAACCCATGTTCGCGAGGCGCCGGCCGCAAATAGCCGGTGGCGCTGGGGCGACATCAATCGGTCTCCATGGCGACGGTCGGCCGCCGGCAGTCGGCCGTACCGAGCGTGTGTGACAGGAACAGGTTGATGGCGGCCACCAGCCAGACCCAGCGCGGGATGGCCGGCACGGCCGGCTTGTTGGACGTGCTCGACGCCACGAAGTAGTAGTCGTAGACGGTAAGCATGACGAAGTTGGCCACCGTGAGCAGGAAGCCCGTCAACGTAAGCAGGTTCGGCGCCACATTACGCGGACAGATCTGGAATGGTACGCGCCGCCGGCTCAGACCGCCGCGCAGAGACCATTGGCTGCCGGAACGCACATGCGGCGACCATCGGCCACCGGAGCACGCACGCGGCAACCATCGGCTACCGGAACACATACGGCGGCCATCGGCCTGCGGAACACACACGGTGGCCATCGAACACCGGAGCACGCACGGCGGCCGTCAGTCAGCGGAACACAAACGGCTGCCATCGGCCACCGAAACACACACGCGGCGACCATACCGGCAAAGTGACAATGTTCGTTTTACCACCTGACGATAAGCACAAATACCGGGAAATCCCGAAAACCCACTGCGTACCAAGTTCAACGCAGGGGATTACGGAACAGACAGCCGACAAATCCCCTTCGGCGGACAGAGAAATGGCAAGACGTTTCACACGTGTAAAGGCCTGAAATACTAACGATTCGTCTGGGCGCAACATGGTTATCCCCGATCCACCCGCTACGCCGGAAGGCTATATATGGTGCTGCCTGAGACGATGAAGATACCTCAGTACCACGGGAATCCACTACGCTGGGGCAAAATTTGTCCAAAAAGTCGGGCCAGGTAGGCGGCGAAGTACGCACGTACGTAACACAGTGCGCTAGCGAGAAGCGCAATCCAAACTCTGCGGCAGGAAATTGTTCGTACTATCAAATTTAAGGCTTCGCATATATATATTATATATATATATATATATATATATATATATATATATATATATATGCATCATTTTAGATATCATCCATCAGATAAAACAAAGCAGTGAGTGAGCACGAGAATTCGCATCACATCTGATGTGCAGCGTTTTTTTACGAGCGACATAACAGACAGCTCAACGCTGCTTGATCTGCAATTTCTTCAAACCAGGCGCGTCCGAACTGCGCAGTTATACGAAACGCGCGATCATTATAAACATACGTTCTTGTCTTCCACACATGTTTTTTAAGGATAGCCAAACCCTGGTCCGAGACCCACTGCGCGATAACCTTGACCGATGAGAGCGGCGATAAACAATCAAAGGAATACGCAGCTGAGGTAAGCCGCACGAGAGGAGCACGTAGTTATTAACGTACCAAATGTGTTCCTTGTTGGGTGATTAAGAATTAAGCATTTATAATTGTCCGATAAATGCTGACTGGTGGCACCCGGGTGCGACGACAAATGTGGCGCGAAGCTTAACAAAGACGGGCAAGTTGCTCTAAACCGACCTTCAAGCGCGAACCTTAACTCTTCGCTTAGACTTCCGGGCACACGATCCCGCGCGATCGCGCCCGCACTTTAACAATGTGCAGGACACCTGACCAAGACGGCTGGACCGCGCCGCCCCAGGGTCGGAGTTCACAGTCATGAGTGCGGGGCGGGGCGGGCGGCAGCGTGCCGGTGGCGGGTTCGGCAGCGCCCGGCAGTCACATGGCAGGGGCGGCTGCTCGGCGCCGCGCCCGACGGTATCGAGCGGTGCGTGCGTCCCGGCGGGAGCAGGGTCCGGGCCCGCCGGGGGGCCGCTTGGACTCGGGTCCGACGGGCCGCCCGCGCGGTGACGGGCCGCTACTGACCAGACTCGCCACACGAATTCCAACAATGGCACAAACTGTCCACCAACTTCAATAATGTTGTTTGCAAACATTGATGATGTAGAGTGGATAGATGCCCATGGAATGACATTACCACAGTTAAACCAGGAACTTCCATCCTTAAGCACCAGAGCTGAAGATTAAGGGCTTATTCCACACTAGCCGCACCCTGGCCATTATCACGTCAACCACACTGCTAAGCTTCCGACGCGCACAGATCAGGGCCGCCTGAAGTCGCAGTATGCCACCAATTACTCCATCAAAACCACACTATTTAACTATTTCCCATGATCAGAACCCCAAGCCGAACATTTAGCGCACACCGCGTGAGAACGGAGCACCAAACCACGCGGTTGTAGCGTGTGGACTTGAGTGGACGAGAATTTAGAAGTGGGTTGACCTAATCAGATAAAGCACTTGCATACTGAGGTCGAAAATAAAGGGGTTCTGAAATCAGGTGACCCACATTTTGCGACAATCTACTAAAGGGGTCGAGACCAACTACAATCACAATATTCTCAGCATTTCGCCTCCACCATCACTGATTTTATCAGCAATGCTCAAAGGGTAACAAAGCATGACACTGTATAGCTTACCTTGACGACTGCATTCCAGAAAGGGTGCATCACATAGTTGCTAAGAGGACTTGTGTCAATGGAGCTATACTGGAAACATCACAAGAAGGTGCTGCAGTTAAAGCATAGTGATGATCAATGAGCACCAAAGGGTAGGAGGCGAAAACCCGCGATGTTGATGAGACAGAAAGCCAGGGTCCATTGCAGATGTCTCATGAGATGTCCAATGACCATGAACATTTCAAAAGCAAGCACAGATCAAATGCAGATGAAATATCTCAGTGGAACTTCTCACCACGACCCAACACCATACAAACATCAATGAAACATGACAAAAACCAGCAGACCAGTGATCAGTCCAACAGATAAAGCTGCTTTCCTTCACCCTGGTTTGTTAACATTAAAGCAACCATCTCATGGAACTAAAAAGCCATTCTGTATTAACCTTATAGTTTTCAAATCCTGTGATGTGTTCATGCCTCAAATACTTAGTATTGAACAGCATGGCCCAACCACTGCAGACTAGCTCAGTTTTACAGACAACCAGTAGGAACACTGAGATTCTTGCACTGATGCCCTTGGCACTCTCTTCTTTGCACCTGGAACAGTGAATATGATTAGAATTGGGGATGCAACCTTAACAACTCTTGCCAACCTCTTTTCATGTTTGTTGTTAACCATTGCACACAACATGGCAACAGTATATTCTTCAGGCAAACAGATTCTTACCACAATATTTCAGATGATTTCCCAATGAAGCACTCCCATCATGCAACAACAAAACTGCTGGAATAATAATCAGTTCTGCTGTAGCATAATCCATCAGAAGGTGGGCTTAATACCTTACACAGACAGCATTCACAAAACTACATGCTTTCGCATTGTTTTCACATTCACATTGTTCGCACAGTTTTTAAAAGCAAACTCATTTTTCTGGTCAAAGTATATTGCCCTCACAACAATGTACACTCTTCACACTTATCCATCACAGCCTGAGGAAGGGGAGATGACATGATTACAAACATATTATAAACACTACATATTTTGAGTTCAAGAGAGCAATATTTTCCAGGGGCCTTCTGGCCAATGTGACATTCAGGGAACAGAGGGAACACTAGATGCATATCTTCCCTGATCAAACTGTTGCACATATCTGTGTCAACAGATGTCCAAAAAACACAAAAAAAAAATCAGAACAGATGGCTTCTGATTAATGCAGGGATCTTCTCAAACCAGCAAAGGCCTCCCTTTTCCAAAGCAGGGCCTTCTGTTCCACAGAAGAGTCTCCTGATGCATGTAATGCCTCTGATCCAGAACATGATCCCTCCAATTCAGAAGGGGGCTTCCTTGGGCACCAAATGACAATCACAGTTGGCATGCCTGTAAGCTCTAATAAAGAACAACAACAAGGGGCTTCCTAATTCGGCAAAGGATCTAATCATCCCAAAACCGAGTGTCCTGTTCTGGAGCTGCCATCATTTGATACATGAACAGTGCTTCCTGTTCCAAAAAGAGGGTCCTCTCCTGACACATACAGGGCACCTCCTTATTTGGGAAAGTGCCTCCTAATGCACAGTAGAGATTCCTGAGATAGCAAAGGGGCTCCTCAACATGAAATTGGGCCCTCTGTTCCAGACCATGAGTTACACAATTAATAATGCCAGCCTTATGAACCAGACAACTGGCCTCTTAATGCACAAAACAGCTTTTCTGAGCCTGATTTAGTACTCTCTAGTTCATCTAAACCTGCATAACCTGAGCCCTTTGGTTTGACCAGAAGGAGCCCCCTAAAATTTTGAGGGGGCAAAGACATACTCTTGCCTCTCTTGCTGCCAGCAGGAGGGCAACTGCCCCCCCCCCCCCCCCTTGTGTGTCAGTCCCATTGTGCCAGTGCTGAATATTCTTGACTTTAACATTGCTGATGATGTGGTTCAAAATTGTGGAGTTTGTCAAGACCAAAGAATAGATAAATTTCAGCTGCGACAAAATATCTGGCAGGTTGATATGACACTCAAAGAAGCAGCAGTTTTTTTCCTCCATTGTTGTGTGCTTTTATTATTAACAAACATATCTGAAAAGGGAAATTTCCAAATATCAGCCAAATTTCATTAAACTGAATCCAAAAGCTCGGTCTACACCAAACCTGCATCACCACCACATCCCGGCCTGTCTTTCATCTCTTGAGCTAGTGAACTTGATCTACAAGCACTTTTCCTTGTTATAGTTGTCAGTGTGAAATCTGAGATACAAGAGTGCAGAGAGCTCAGAAGTGTCTACATCATGATGCATAAATTGCCTTGTTGGCACACAAAGGATGCCAAGAAACACAACATGGAGTTCAAAAATTATACTCATCAAAGCAGCCACAAAGATAAGTCATAGTTCTAAGACCAAAAACTACTACAGATCCATAGACCTCACTGACTGAAATGCTCTTGATTCTGGAGGACCCATAACAGTTCAGACATAGACCATGGTGTGAGAAAACATCATATCCAGCATTTGCCATAGAAGTACTCTCAAACCTGCCAACTGCAAAAAGAAACTGAAAAACCCTAAAACACCATGCACTTTGAACAATAACAAAAAGAGGTTCAGCACGATTTCACCGTGCTTAAGTTAAGCACACAGGATGTGGTTTAGTTAGGTTTAGAACCTAACTAACACAGGTTAGGTTCACTAACACTAAACCTAGCACGGTTAGGTTTAGTGCACCAACGACCCCCATAGGTGGCTGGCTCAGAGGGTACATCTTGCAGACTGGCTTGAAGAGACAAATAGGTCTGACAGATCTGAGTGATAGGTGGATCGATTCTACCATGACGCAGAGCGACCAAATTATTTAAACAATTCAAGCAATCTTTCACTAAACATTCCAGCCACACCCTACAACGTTCCATCGCATCCTCACGTGACGATATCCACTAGAGAGCATTATACTTACTGCTTTCGTGCCTGCCTGGATTCATCTGTTGACGAACTGTCACCCTCAAATCACATCAACTAAAGGTCTCCACCGCACCAGCCCTCCGCCAACTGCACTCGCGCCCACTATCCCACCACCCCTCACCCAACGCTGCAACGCGTCTGAAACTGGATGAAACCTTACAGCCACAATTGCCGTCCACCTGCGCCGGAACCGGCGACTCACAACAGGAGCGAGACAAGCAATTGATGTTTTCGGCCCCACAGTACGGCAAATCCTTTTCTTGCATTTGGTAAACTCCTTATCTTGCCTTACCTTACCTTATGGCGATCGAGAATTATAAAGGAACACTATGCCTGTAGATCCCCATCTTGAGGCTCCCGGTCCGGTAACCAAACAGTCTCAAATTATGGGAAGATTCAGTCGTACATGATGTCAGCCCAGTGCATATCAAGCCTAGACTTGGACTGTTCATCTGAGGTCGGCGACACGACCGGTTGTGGAAGAGTGTTCCAATCGTTTAGGTTGTTATGGATTGCCCTTTCCCTTAATTGAGTATTGTAGGTGACAATATTGCTGTTTATACCGTAGAAAGGACAAATATATCCTACAACACAGCGGTGGCCGAAGCAGTGACTCGGGACAGGGGCCGAAAACACCATTTCACCATGTAAACTAGGGCACATTGAATGAGAACTTACGGTTAGTACCACCGGTATCGTCTACGTGCCAGTGGTTCCTCGCGCTATTTTTCCCTGATCCATGAGGTTGAAGTCGCGTCTTTCCCTTATTCTATTCAGTTACTACACCTTTTGCCCGAATTCCAAACTTCAGCTTGTGGACGACATACAAACTGATTTCGAGAACTACATGCGTAGTGGTAATTATCAAAATACCCACATTCTAGTAGAAAACGTAGTGGTTCTCTTTCAATATTTGTAGTAATAGTTGTGACGTCTTTGACCGCTAAGATGCACCACTTACTTCATGCCGTCTCGTCCATCCGCGCTGTATGTTTATTTCTTAATATTTCGTCTTTGCTCACACGTCGTTTTTTTTAATATGCTCAGATTGGCCAAACGGTTCACCGCTACCAATTAGATGCCGGTTGCTGATGACTCATCATTTCACAAGGCCTAAAACGTGCTGAGTGGGCAGAGGTTGTTGACTTCGGAGCCTTCATATGGAAGCACCGGCAACATCATCAGGAACTGGCTGGGAGCCGTCGCCATCTTAGAAATCTCCGGCGTGGTGGACGGGCGTGAGGCTAGCGGTTACGATCGGGTTGTATCTATGAAGAGTATGAAACCATTACTAGGGTTTTTGTAGTACAGCGAAGTCGTAAAGGTTTTTCATTCAGCAAAGTGCTCGCCAGAACTTGATGAAGGAAGCAAAATCTCTGACCTCCAGTCCTTGAGGTTGGTTCGGTGTTCTTTGGTCGGCCCCCCATTTGGCCCTTGACTGGTGCCTGCGAACCCTGCACATGATAACAATGGCCCCAAAGTAGTATGCTCAAACAGTTAAATGTGGTCTTGACATGTTTTTTCATTATTAAATATGCAAGTTCTATGAAGTACTAGTCCCTAACAGGGACATAGCCATGGTGGGGGGCATGGGCTGAGCCACAGGTTTCCGAGATGCTGGGCGATTTTGCAAAAAATGGTTCAAATTTCAGAAGTTCCTTCAAAGTTCAGCTTTGTCTCTCCCCTCCCTTAGACAGTTCTGGCTGGAGATGGGTTGCCTGGTTCCAACTCCAAGGGAGTGAACCTGGCATGGAAGTATTTATTCATGGGTGCTTTCTGTATTCCAAGAAGTCCTGCATTCCGGGGCTGCCCAGGCCAAAGGGAGTTTCTTTACCCAGAAAGATGTTTATTTGGACTCATTGGCCAGTTGATTGGGGCAGATCTAATCCTGCCCCAATTGTGCAGCCAGCACGCTGTTATGCTGTCTGAGAGTCAGTCTTAATGTGGCTGGTTTATCTTTTATTTGACCTGTTCAGCACAAACAAATGTACACCTCTTGTCTTGTGTTTGAATGTCATGGTGGATCTGTTGCCACAGGTGCTCTGTTAGTAACAATGTGTATGACCGGACAAAAAGAGTGTGCATAAAATGATATGGCAGTACGTAAAACAACTGTGATGGAGTTGCGACTGATGTGACACATTTGTTACTATATGACCAGGACAGCCATTGTGTCTTAAAACCCAAATCATCGTCATCATCTATTGTGCTGCTGGCTGTTCTTGCTTCTACAGATTGTAACTCCTTGATTTTGGATGCAGCAGAGTGCACTCTGTTGTTCTACTCAAGCTATATGCTAATTCTGCACCTACTCCACAGTGCCATGAGCTGTCCCTGTTAGGATGTTCCTGCCCTCAAATTTTCATAAGCTGTCTCAAATGTAAGCTCTTAGCCCAGCCCCACTTTTACAAGATCTTGTGTAGATCTGCCATGCATTTTTTAAGACTGGCTGGTGGTCTGGAGTAGCTCCAGCACCAGTGGAGAGACTAGGGGCAACTGACCCCTTGCAGTTTGCTAAGGACTAAACATGGACTTTAGCAGCTTGCCCAAGTTGTGGGGAGAAAAATTATTTTTGGGGTAGTCCACAGGCTCAGCCCTCTCTCATGGCTCTAGTTGTTCAGTAAGTTAGGGGACTCAGCCCTCTCTCCCAGCTCTTTGATTCTAGCATTTCTAGACAAGCATACCTTTTGTCCCCCTAAAATTGCAGTGAGTACAGATGACCTGCATAGAGGAAACCATCAGAATAAACAGTCAAGTATTTAGGCATGTGGGAGATAACAACTTTGCTACATGATACCCTAAATTGCTGGCATCAGGCCTTAGAGGCTAACAGGATTCCATCAGATGCATGGAAGGACCCATCCAAAGTTGAAACCCTGCCAGCTCAAGAGTAAGCCTGGCAAGAAGGCCCTGAGCCTCTACAAAATCTAGAAGTTCTTTTCACTGACACAGCTATTCAACTAGTAGGTCCTAAGAAGTGCTAAAAGGTGGCCAAATATCTGACACATTTTTGCAAGATAGAGGATAGGATCAGTCCTCCAAACCCACTTGGAAGATCTCCATGTTTTGCTGGTTTAGCTGGTGCTGAATCATATACCACATCAGTGCAAGGGTGCCCAAGCCAGGATATGCTATCACTAGTGAAAGGTTTTCTTTGTATAATAAGTCAAAACCTGGTCTTTGTGCTAATGCCAGTTGAATCATGTGAGTTCTAGGCTGCTTTTAAAATGGTACCATTACCCTGTTTGTAAGAAAAATGTGTGTGCATACTGGCCACCACCAGAAAATGCATAGTTTCTGACTAGTTCATCTAACATCACTGGAGGGTTGCAGAACTGGTGCATTAGCCTGATACCACGGCCTCACTGCCAGCAAACAGTATGCCACACCCTCAACACCACACAGTACAACACCCTTCACTGCCCCCGCTCCCCCTCACGTCTCGCTCAGAGCTCAGTCGCACGACCCCTTTGCCACCACCCTGTAGAGGAACATGACGTGGGCATGATTCGGCGTGGCCTACTGTAACACATAACACCGATAGGACACGGTCACTTGATGGCATTGATAGAGCACGAACATGCGGTCTGCGCTCCGCAGAATGACTGAGTGACCCACTTCGCGATATGTGCTGGAATTTGCACAACTGGCGAGTGGCCTTGGAATGTGGAACCACTGCTGCAGCTGTGATCATGGTCCAGCTGGCACAGCAAGTTCAGACAGAACATTTTGTGAACAGGACCTTAGATTGTACCTTGTATTGTACCTCCTGTGAGAAGGCTTTCATGTAATGTATACACAAATTGGTCACACAATATGTATCTAGTTCTACCCTCCAGTACTTGGATGTGTGTTAAGCAATCTAGTATGCATTACCTTTTTGCCAGTTCAGGGTAATAAGGCTGCCAGTCCAAGGTATGGAACCTGCAGTGTGGTATGCTGTCTGGAATGCTAATGCACATTCAAATGGTGTGATGCATCATTTATCCACCATATCCAGTTGGAACAAAATGAAGACAAGCTTTTTCGAAAATGGAAGGAACATGTGGAAAGACATGGAACTGGGAAAGTCGCTAGTGCACGACGGCTTTAGGTAACGGATGCTGAAGACTGGTGCAGAGTGGTTAAGCCCGGTCTTCATCAGCCAGTTTGGTTTAAGTTTTTTTTTTGTAATTCAATGGGCCATCAGACAGTTTCATCTCTTCTGCTCAAGGTTATCCTCAGCAATTTGCAGGCAAAAACATAAAGATCCGCAAAAAGCTTTTCAAAAGAACATTGGGCCTTCAGACAAACTACTCAAACCATGGCTTTTGCTGATGTCAGATTCAGGTCTATCGCACAAAGCTGTCAAAACTTGCTCTTGTTTTCACAGCATTCTATATGTGTATTGAGACATTCGGATAATGTAGGGACACATGGAAGTACTGGTTGAGATATGTCATGCTGATCAATACAGTGACATCTTAATGAAGCATCAATGATACTGATGGTGTAGTATGTGTCCAGCAGCAGAGCCAATTGCCCATGCTGTTAGGCAGTGTGGGAAAGTGTCTGTTTCCAGGCTGCACTTTGGATTCTTGGTATGCAGCACAAAATCACCACTGAGCAACATATGTCATAGGTCCATTTGAGAAAAATATGCCTATGTGTTCGGACAAGCAAGACACCATAGCGTGCCTAGATTGACAATTGTTGTTGTTCAGAGTTATTCACAGGTATCCCGTATTTTACCTAGCGCATCAGCAGCGATTGGCTGGCATCTGTACAGTATCCTCTCCTGGTTGACAGACTCTGCAGTCACCACCATGGGGTCCCAGCTGCTGCTGCGCTGGGACAACCACCTGCCCAGCTTCGCCTGCTCGATGAAAGAGTGTCTGGACGACGGCGACCTCACTGACCTCACCATCTCGTGCCAGGGCCGTGTGCTCCACTGCCACAGGCTGGTGCTCTCTGTGGCCAGTCCGCACTTCAAGCAGCTGCTCAAGGTGCGCGGCGGCAGGGAGCGGCGCCATGGCAGCTGGGCCATCTGCCTCCCCCCTGGGTTTGGGGGTCTAAGTCAAGTGGGAATGACTTCATTTGCTGTTAGTGGAGGAAGCAGGGTCCTCACCATTTCATTGTCATGTGATGTGTAGGTCACAACAAGCCATTGATGCCATTTGAGTTTGAAAAAGTCATGAATGTAACTTGATAACCAGGTATTTGGAAAGCATCGTTATATGCTCGTTTTGTGTCCAATGTTTTCAATTTACCTTCATTGAAGATGGAACATTTGCGGCAAAACTTGCGGGACATGCCCTCAGAGATAGTTCACAGCTCTGTGACTTGACCTGAACTGACCTGTAGCAGTCTTCTTGAAAGACATGCTTAGTGAATACATAGTGAATGCAATGCAATGCATGCATAGGTCAGCTATCCCAAAGCATATGGTGCTGTCGTTTGCTGTTTTGGGCCAGTGGGGCAGTAGAGATCGGGAACTCTGTCTTCTGCCATGTTGCCACGCATCGGTTGGCCCGGTGGCCAGGGGTAAACGGCTCTTGAGCCGAGTGTGGACCCCTGCTGTGCGCGTATGTCGACACGACTGGTGCATCTTGTGTTGTGGTTCCTACTGGAATAATGCAACTTTCTCGGTCTGTGATTGTTGTGATTGTGTCACCTCAGTAATAAGGGGAAAGTTGAGGTGGAATTGCAGTCCTGCAAAACAGCCATGCATGATGGTGCATATGTTTCAACGAAAGTGGTGGCCATGGGACGTGTGTTCTAGAGAGGATGGTAATGGTTGTTTGCAATAATCTGTTGTTTTGGGGGAGAGGCACGCCCGGGCGTGTCCGTGCTGGGCTTCGCACACCCCGCCAGACATGGTGCCTTCTGTACGAACCAAACCTTGCACAGTCCATCTTGACTCTCACTTCGTAACTGCTATGCGGGATCGGACGCAGTCCTACGTTTATAGACCCCCAGATGAACTGTGTCAGCCCCTCGGCGACAGTGAGTAAGCACAAGTTACCAGCGTAACGCCGCAACCGAGAAGGCTTAACACAGCTCCGAAAATAGGACAGTAGTAATAGCCTTATTCCTCGTAGAAAAGCCAGGAGATGAAGATGTGGATGCGCTGATATTTTCGGCAATACGCCTATCGAAACGAATGGTAGACTACTGTTATTTGTTTCACTAAAGGCATGCTGCCGAAATTTCAGTGTATCTTTATCTTCATCCTCCCGGTTTTTCTACGAAGAATAAGGCTTTTGCTACTGTCTTATGTCTTTGCATAATATTCCTCGCAAATGCACCTGGCAACTTACGTGGCTCGGAAAATGACATTGACCTGCAAATTAGCTGATGGCCTGCAAGCCCCATCAGCGGTTTCACTTGAGCGTGTTGGCTTGAACGCGTGCTTTGCCCGCACAATCAACGCCTCTGTTTGTCGGCAGGCAAACCCCGGCCAGCACCCGATCGTGATCATGCGCGACATTCCGTACAAGGACATCGCCGCCCTGCTGACGTTCATCTACCAGGGCGAGGTCACCGTCACCGAGGAGGACCTGCCCAGCTTCCTGAAGACGGCCAAGGCGCTGGAGGTGCGCGGTCTGGCCGACGACGCGCACACGGGCGGCACCTCCTCGCGGCCGGTGAGTGGCGCTGCCGACCTTGACGACCTTTGACGGCAGGCCGGCGCGTCCGGCCAGGGCCGGCGCTGCTGGCGGGCGCTCGGGCGGCGCGCAGCAGGCGCGCAGCCGGCTCGCGCCGCCGTCTATCAGCCGACTGCGAAGTCTGGTTATCCAATGAGGTATGCCCTGGAATTTTAAGAGCGTGACTGTTAGATCTGGATAGCGTTGGATGGCATCAGCGCCCACCGCTGGTATCAGCGCGCCGGCGGGCGTCTTGTTTTAGGCGTGCGAGCGCTTCGGCCAGCGGCGTCTGTGACGGAGCCCTGTGACCTGGCCGTGACCCGGCCGTGACCTCTGTGACCGGTGCCTGTGCCACAGGAGCCCCGCCGCGCCTCCCACCTGGAGCCGGAGGTGGTGGTGAAGGAGGAGCCCTGCGACCCGGACGAGGCGCCCGCCGCCCGACACCCGGTCGCCATGACAACCATCAACGACCTGAGCCTGCTGCAGCGCGAGGCGCCCGCCGCCACCGGTGGGTGGAGCCGGGCGGACACCGTCGGGCCGCGTCTCACGGCTCCCGGGACTGGAGGTCATGGAGGAGGTGTGCGGACCAGGTGGCCATGCAGGCGACAGGTGCTCGGAGCAGTCGGTGCCAGATGTGGACGATGATTATAGTTGCTGTGGCCGCAAGTGTACGTCTCGGTCCGTGTCGGGGCACCTGTCTGCATTGTTTAATGTTTTTCGTTGTTGCCGGCAGATGGGTTCAGGGCTGGCAGCTCCTTCGTCGAGGTGGGACCAGCGCGCGTGCCGCCAAAAAGTGAGTAGCGCGACACGCAGTTCCATGCTGGTGTCAAGCTGTCCGGTTTGGGCGGCGTCGTTCGGGTTTTTTCACTTACGCTAGTTGGCATTAAGTGTGATTTTATCGTGTGATGTGTATGTTAATATTAGCAGATTTTTGGGCATGTTATGAGCTCCGCATTTTACCGAATTTGACCCGAGACGTTTCACGTTGCGAAACGTCCCGGCTGTGTATCCGAGGGTGCGCCGAGCCCGTGAGCGTTCACGGCTGACTGGTGACGGATGGCTGGCGGCGAGGGGAACCGCGGCAGCGACTGGCGGTGGCCGACGACTTCGACCAGCATAGTCGCGCAGGCGAATGGTCGTAACTGGTGGGAGGGACTCATCAAGCTGAGACGGGACAGGCGTCCTTCTGGCGTTATCAGCCACACAAGTTCTTTTTTAGCTAATGAATTTGGCATCATGGCCTCGACATCGGCTCATGCCAGTGGAACTCGTGTTGGAGACGAAATTACTTTTGCAATGAGGAGCATTCGGAGCCTTTTCGGGGCGGGAGCTTTGTCAGTGCATTAAGCTGGGTGCGGGCGCATGCAAATCTTGTCCAGTTTTAACTTGCATAGGGGCGTTATTGTCTACGGGAATCATCGCCGGACGGAACTGAAAGTTATGTTTGGCACGAAGGTCATGCTTTCCTAAGAAATGCGAGCTGGGTGGGTAGAACAAATTGTTGGGAATACTGTCGTCAAGGTATAGTGGGTGATGCTAGGATATCGAATGATTCTGATTCAGTCAGTGCTTCGCACCACTCACGTTAACGGCAGTGATAAGTTGCACAAACCGCGGCAGCTTTGGGGGATGATGCCCGGTCTGGAAAAGCCGATCGCTCTGTCAGGCTCGGAAGGGTGGCCTCGAGCGCGCGTAATTACCTCCGGGATTGAGCCGCGGGCTGCGCCGGTCACCCCGACAGAACAGCAGGGCGCTTCCCAAGTGAGCCTTGTTGCGCTGGATCGTCCAGCGACACCATCCGTGCCGCCGCCGTCTCCGTCTCCGTCTCTGCCGCCGCTCTCCGCCGCCGCCGCTCGCCGCCGCCGCCGTCACCGCCGCCTCGCCGCCGCCGCCGGCTCTGACGCGCCATCTGCGCCCCTCTGTTTCAGCCGTGAGCCCGTGCGTGGTTCGGCTGGAGAAGCTGGACGGCGGCGGCGGCGGCGGCGGCGGCGGCGGCGGCGGCGGCGGCGGCGGCGGCAGCGGTGGTGGCGGCAGCGGAGGCGGCGGCGGCGAGGGCGGCGGCGTGACGCACGTGGTACCGGCCCTGACGGGTGACCCGGCCGCCGGCAACCTGGACGAGATGCTGATCCCCGGCACCAGCGCGCTGCTGGACCGCATCCTGCGGCGGCAGCTGAGCCTGCCCGACCGCGGCTACTTTTGCCCGTACTGCACGCGCGAAGTCAACATGCGCACGCTTGGCAAGCACATGACCAAGATTCACGGCGGCATGCGGCTGCAGTGCAAGGCGTGTCGCGAGGTGGTGCACACGCGCGTCACCAGCCTGCTCATCAACCACGGCGTCTGCGTGCTGTTGCTCAACAAAAATTCCAAGCTGGGTGACCAGCTGATCCGCAAGCTGTCGCGTCAGATCCGTTCCATCTACAAAAACCGCCGCTTCAAGTCGCAAATGCTAAAGCGCTACCCAGACCTGTCCTACTTCTGCAGCAGCTTCATCTTCGGCCGCGTCAAGCAGCCGTGCGCGCGCTGTGGCCTGGTCCTCTGGTCTTCCAGCATGGCGAGCCACTTGGAGAAGTGCGGCGAGGACGTTATCCAGTGCGACTTCTGCAACAAGCATATGGCGCGCACCCGCCTGCCCTACCACGTGGACATCTATCATCCGGGCAAGGTAATCCAGCAGAAAGCCAGGGTGGAGCTGCCGGCCGACTCCGAGGCGGAGCCGGAGCCGGCCCAGGGCCTGACGCACCCCGTGTTCGGCGACGGCGCTGACTCGGCGACCGGCTCGCAGATCGTCTCCTGCTCCAAGTGCCACAAGAAGATGCGCCAGAACAACCTGCGTCGCCACATGCGCGTCATGCATCCGTGGAAGCCCAGCATGCGGTTCGAGCGACGCGTGGACCCGGCCACGGGCCTGGCGCGCCTGCCGGCCGGCGTCGAGCACGACCCGGTGGTGCTGTCGGACGACGAGCCGCTGGACGGCGCCGACCCCGAACCGCTGCCGGAGCCGGACGACGACGAGCCAGCCGAGTCGGCCGACGCGGACACCAAGTACGCCGCCTACAAGCGCTCGTGTCCCGTGTGCGCCAAGGTCATGTGGAAAAAGTACCTGGGGTCGCACGTGCGCTCGGCGCACCCAGACTACGAGATGGACGCCGAGACGGCGAGCCAGCTGGCGGCGCCGCGACCCGTCCTGCCCGGCTCCGTCAGCAAAGCCAAAGTCATCAAGCACTGTCCGTACTGCTGGAAGACCATGTGGCGCTGCAACGTGAAACGCCATATCCGGCAGGTCCACCCGGAGCACTCGCACCTGCTGACGGACATGTTCGACCTGGAGGCGGCCATCCGGGCGGCGGCGCGTGAGCGCGGCCTGCCGCCGCCCGCCTCCGACCCGTCGTCGGCCGGCGAGGACGAGCCCGAGGACGAGCCGGCGGCGGCCGAGCCGAGCGCGCAGGACGAGGCGATGCTGGCCATCCAGGAGATGAACGCCATGGCCGAGGCCGAGGGCTTGGAGGCGCTCGAGGCTGAGGACGACCAGATCAACGAGCGGTCTGCCGAAGCGGCCATGCGAGAGAGCGAGACGGTGCCCACCAACAGCCGCAAGCACGAGAAGAACCTGAAGCGCTGTCGCCACTGCCGCAAGCTGCTGCGCGGGTGCCACCTCAAGCGGCACATGTTGAACTGGCACAGTCCGCTGGCCACCGGCAAGCCGTCTAACAAGACGGGCGTGCCTGGCGGCCTGAACCCGGCGCGCCAGCGCACCTGCCCCGTCTGCCTCAAGGTGGTGGTGGTGAACAACCTGCGCCGCCACATCCGCGCCTCGCACCCCGAGGTGGGCGAGGAGGAGCTGATGAACGTCACTGACTCGGCCTACCCGGGCCTGAGCGGCTCGTTCGGCGCCGACGACGCCAGCAATGACGCGTCGCTGGCGGACGCCGACGAGACGAGCTCGTCACGCAGCGGGCCGGCCTCGCTGGGCGGGTACGCGGCGCGCCGTATGCGCCGCTGCCCGCACTGCGCCAAGGTGATGGTGTCCAGCAACATGGCGCGCCACTGCAAGACGCACCACCCGGCTGAGTGGCGCGCCGCGCACGGCGGCGGGGGCTCCGGCCGTGCCGCCGCCGAGGCCGCCGAGGAGATGGAAGCCATGAACGCTGAGGAGACGGCCGCCTGGCTGGACGAGGCAGCCGCCGGCCACGCCGACGAGCTAGACGCCAGCGACGTGCCCGACGACATGGAAGTCACCGATGAACTGCTGGACGAGGCCGAGCCGTTCGAGGACGACGAACTGGCGGCCGAGGACGAGGACGAGCTCTCGGACCGACTGGAGATCGTAGACGACCGGCCGGATGGGTCGGACAGCGGCGGCGAGCCTCCCGATCCGCTGGGCCTGGCCGACGGCGATGCGGACCATCTGGACCTGGCCGAGGAGCCGGCGGACCACCCGGACCTGGCCGAGGAGCCGGCGGACCACCCGGATCTCACGGAAGAGCCGGAAGACCACCTGGACCTGGCCGACGAGCCGGCGGACCACCCAGACCTCGCGGAGGAGCCGGCAGACCACCTGGACCTGGACCTGGCCGAGGACGGGCCGGTGGACGGCGACGACTCGGACGCGGGAGCGCCGGCCGCTGGCGGCGGTGCGCCGTCGCCCACCTGAGGGCGCGGCTGGCGGCGGCCTACACCTCAGGGGCGGACGGCGAGGCCGGTCGGGCTGCTCCCCGGCCGAGCAGGGGTCCGTGTCGCGACAGGCGGCCTGGTGTACAGCACGAGTGGTGTAGGGGCAGGCAATGTTAGCCACTATGTCAGCCCACTATGTTAGCAGTGTGTTGGCGCACACGGCGGTGCGAACGAGGGCTGAATGCTGCACGGTTGGGTTGCGTAGCTTCAGGCGTGCACGCTGACAGAAGCCGAGGAGTGCTTCCGTTGCCTGTGTACCATATCGAGCGTTGTGGGAGCAGTGTCTCTGTCTGAGGACTTGAATGCGGTTTGCGGTTGGTTGAACGTGGTATTTTAAGTTAGACGTTCGCGGCAGAAGGGTACCACACAAAATTATTTATCTGAATTGCGGATTGCGGCCTTGGGAGTTCCGGACGCCAAATGTATTTATGTTAGATGTGTACGTGATGAATAAAGAGAATAAAACCACTTTAGATTGTGTACAAGCTCTACTTCCGTCCATCAACATTCGAACGTGTATTGTCGAGTGAAATAACGCAAGTTGCTGCCAAGGGTATTATGCCAAGCTCCAGCCAAAATCTGACGCGATTCATTTGCTGCCAAGCCCAAGTGGTAGTAAGTCGATTGCATCAGGTGAAATAGTCATGGCGGCCAGTCAATGGTACAGCCTTGGTAACGCTCAGATCATCCTTGAGTCGGCATGGCTCGTCGGCTGTTTCTGGCTCGGGTGTGGCGCCCGCCCGCTCCGCGGACGACTCGATCTCTGTGGCTAGCTCTGGAACTGGCCGCTCGCCTGCCTTGTCCGTGTCTGCGCCCCTGCTGTTTGTAGCTGACGGCACCTTGTCACGAGCGTGAGACAGACTCCCGTGCTGCTATGGCCTGTGTCTGACCCGCCTCAGCCTGCAAGCCCTCGTGGGGTCTGTTTTCGTGTGTCCGTGTTCACACGGCCTGTCCACTGCCACCCCTCCGTGTCAAAGGAGCTGCAGTGGGCAGGCCGCGTGCACACTGGCGACCCGCGCGCGAGTCGACCGCGTGCCGCAGCCGCTGCCCGCCTGAAGCCGACGGTGAGCCATTGGCCGGCGGCGCGCCCGTACTCGCCGTCTGACGCAGCGCGCCGCTTGCCCCGCAGCGGACCCGACCGAGCCGGAGAGCTCGGTGAGCATCACCCTGGTGCGGCCGGAGAGCGGCGCCAGCGAGAGCAGCAGCTCGCCGCCCACCAGCCCGGAGCCGCCGCGCCCCCGCGCGCGCAAGCGCTCCGGCGATACCGACTGGACGCCGTCCTCCCAGGTGAAGCGGCAGACGAGCGGCGGCGCGCCGGCGCGGCAGACGCGGCGCGGCAGCGGCTCCCAGCAGACGGCCGCCTGGTGGGATCAGGTGCTGGCCGACGAGCGGGAAGCCGTCGCCGGCGCCAGCGGAGACGGCGGCGGCGGCGGTCGGGGCTTCAGCGTGGCAGGCTTCGAGCCGTTGCGGCGCGGCCGGGGGCGCGGTCGCGGTCGGCCGCCGAAGCGGTACACGATGCCGACTAGCCGCGGGGACGCGCTCGAGTTCCCGGCCGACGAACCGCCGGTCGGCCTGCTGACCATGCCGGCCACGCCGCCGCCGGCGCCGCTCCCGCCGCCGCCACCGCCCGGCTCGGCGTCGCAGCTGCTGAAGCAGATGCTGACGGCGGGCGTAAGCGCCGGCCAGCCGCTGCCGTACCTGCCGCTGACGGCGCTCGACCCACTGACGGTGACGACGCACCGCGGCGTGCGCTACCGCCACCTGTTCCAGGCGACGCCCGACAGCCGGCGGCCGGGCCCGTTCTGTCCGTTCTGCCCGGTCGTCACGCTGCCCAGCCACCTGTCGGAGCACTACCGGCGCGAGCACAAGCACAGCCGGCACAACACGTGCCGCGGCTGCGGCAAGGTGCTCGGGCCGCGACCCAGCCGGCCGCTCAACCACACGGCCTGCATGTTCGCGCTGCTCTCTCGGCCGCAGGTGGCGGCCGCCGCGCTGCCGGAGCTCTGCAGCGAGTTCCGCCAGAAGACCATCAGCAAGAGCAACCGGGCCGAGCTGTTGAAGGAGGTGCCGGCGCTGGACGGCTTCGTCGGCCTGTCGCTGCACGGCTTCGCGCGCCGCAAGTGTCCGATGTGTGGCCTCGAGGTGTTCAGCCCCGAGATGGGCACGCATCTGAGCCAGGTGCACGGACGCCAGCGCTGCCGCCGCTGCTTCGACCTGGTGCCGGTCAGTCTGATGGACGTGCACCGCTGCAAGGGCCACCGCGCGGCGCCGGCCGCTGCCGCTGCAGCCGCCGCCTCCGCCGCGCAGCCGCTGGCACCGCCGGCCTGGCCGGCGCCCGGCGCGGACGGCGACGCCAATCCCTGGGACGCGCCGGCGCCGGGCAGCGACTGGATGTCTGCGGCCGACGCCGGCCCCGCCGCCGCCGTCAAGACCGAGGCCGACGACGGCGTGGTGTTCTGCGACGACACGAGCCTGGCAGGCGAGGCGGCCAGCATCGCCATTGGCGGCGCGTGGAGCGAGCGTGCCGCGCCGGCGCCGCCGGCGGCGGCGGCCGGGGCCGAGCCGGCGCCCGGGGCGGAGCTGGCGACCGGGGCCGAGCTGGCGACCGGGGCCGAGCTGACGGCCGGGGCTGAGCTGGCGCCCGGGGCCGAGCTGGCGCCCGCCGCACATGGGGAGGACGGCTCTCCAGAGGAGTGGGGCTCCGTGCCATCCGAGGGCGACGCGGGGCCGGAAGAACCGCCGCTGGCTTCGGCCGAGTGGACGGCGGATCCGGCAGCCATGGCCGGCGTGCAGGCGGGTACGGCAGGCGGGGAGGAGCTTTCGTCCGGAGCGGCAGGGGCGCAGGAGTCGGCGGACCCGACAGCATCGGCGCAGGATGCGACCGCCGGGTTCAGCGCCATGCCCAGCCTGGCGGAGGCGACGAACTCGCATAGCGTTCTGAGGAATATGTTGGAGAATTTCCGCAGACATCTTGAGTGAAATGAGGCGCGGATGGCAGCGCAAGCGAAAATACGATGTGATCGCGGGGACTTTGGGTATGTTATGTTCAGCAGTGTTGCATGTTTAAGATCATTCCACCAGTTGGGTCTCATTGATGTGCTTTGTGTTTGGGACGTTAGGAAACTACATATACGTATATGTTTCTCAGCCCGCAGCATGTTGCTCATCAGAAAATGTGTCGACATGTTTTTGCTAATAGACTGGGCAGTAAACTGTCAATTGTATGGCTTGAGAGTAAGACGACAAACCAGAGATCGGACCATGTTTCATTCACCGAAATGCCGCCGTGCATTTGATCGCCGGAATCTGGTCCAACTCGGGCCGCACACATCACCACCACGACGTGATGCACCGCTGCCGCGCGTCACGAGCTGCATACCCATCACAGACAAAGCGGCGACACCCACTGGCCGCACGGCCGGCGTCGCCACACGCTCCGGCCACCCTGCCGAGGCGCACACTAGTGCACACGCGCGGCTGGGAGTGGTGTAACGTGACGGTACGCGAGTGGTCAGCCCGCGAACGCCGACCTCTGGCCGACACTCTGCGGCGCCTCATGCATTTGGCCTGTGAGCCGGACGCTCACGCGCGAGCAGACGCGCCCTTCAGCGGAGCCCGAGCATTGGGACACGAGACGCGCCCAGTCTCGCTCAGCTCTGCCCGCTTCAAGTGCCAGTGTGCGATCTCTGCGCTGCCCCCCCCCCCCCCCCCCCCCTCCCCCCCCCCCACACACACACGATAAATCCTGGCTCAGCGTGCACTACTCCTCATGCAGGTGCTGCTCCGCCTCGATCCACCAGTTTCTGACGGTGTCCGCGGCGCGGCGCCACAGTCGCAACCGCGTGCCGCCATACAGCGCGCACACGACGATGAAGAGCCAGGCGGCCACCAGGTACCAATCGAGCCGCTGCTCCGGCACGGACGGCAGCGGACCGCCGAAGTCGGCCGACGTTACGTTCAGCAGCACGGCCGCCGACAGCTGCGTCTGCGCGCGCACGAACTCGGCCAGCAGCTGCAGCGTCGGCTCCGACTGGTTGAAGCGCGCCTGCGGCCGCCCGTTGTGGAAGAGGATGACGGTCGGCACGGCGATGATGCCGAACCGCGTGTTCAAGCTGTGAAGCCAAGACACGGTCAGCAGAGAGCGGCGCCGCTGCCATGATGCTGGCGACTGGAAGGATATGTCGCACTGGGAAATGATTATTTCACTGGGCCAACCAGCTCGACCTAACTAACGTTTTAGAGCGATTGCACGGTCGCGCGACGGTTGTGACCAGCGTTAAAAGAAGCGGATGGCCCATCTGTCACCGCGTTGAGTTAAAATGGCGGTGCAACAGCACGTCGCAGGCACTTCTTAACTTCGGAACGGACCTATATGTATGTGGCGCAGCCTTAGAGAGTCGTCTGACCTCGGCGGATTGAGCCGGTGCCGTCACCATCTGCCCTGATCTCAGCTGTTCGTCACTCTGACCCCAGCCCGTGCCAACGAGTGGCCCAGTCTTGTGTGCCCGCTGCCCCGGCCTGACTGAACCCCCTGCATCGCAAAGCTACACCAACCTGCCGTTTTCGGGGACGACCTGCCCCCCCCCCCCCCAAACACACACAAGCATGACGCTCATTGGTGTTTGCTTTGAAACGTCAGATCAGCGCTGATAATCCCTTTCCACGTGTGACACACCCGGACAGCGCCCATGTCGTTCTGTCGCTACGCGGAGGGTGTCTATCCAGGCCTTCCGCCTGCAGCCGTGCGCCAGGATCTGAGCCGGCTTCACACACCACCCCTCCGACGTCTACCCTGCCTGCCCCTAAAAGGGTTGCACAGCCGCACCCAGATGTTACCCGCCCCTCCCTACAACGCTGCCACTACCGCTCGCCCTCAACCGTCGCCCACCTGCCATTCTCCAGCGCGTCCACGGCCATGACGGGTAGGTCGGGGAAGGCGCGCGGCATGGCGTTGACGTGCGGCGCGGCCGCCGCCGAGAACGGACACGTGCTACCGTAGAAGAGCACCAGCAAGCAGCGGGCGGGCGTGCTGCGCGAGCGTACCGACGTGTCCTGCACCAGCTCGTCAGACAGCGTCGCGGCGCTCACCATCTGCCGACGACGGGCGCCCGGGCAGGGTCAGTGGCTTGCCTGCGCGCTGTCTAACATAGTTCAGCCGCACACACAGCGCCTCTTTAACAACAGCGGATTAACAACACACACAACAGCACCTCTTAACATTAACAACAGCACCTCTCTTCTGCAACAGCGGATTCAGGACGCCGTCTGGAGGAGGGGGGGGGGGGGGGGGCAGCCGGCTTGGCAGAAACAAAGCAAATGTCTTTATTGCAACAAAACAAAAAGCGCATTGGGATTCCTTGCATTTTACCTCAAGGGCCTTTCCAAGATAAATGTTCCTCGATAAAAGTTGCTTAGACCTCGGTACAGTCTAGAAACGCTTCATTTTTGCCCACATTTGGCCACATAAGGAACCACGGTCCTGCTGCCCCCTCCCCCCCCCCCCCCTCTCCCTTCCTCGGATCTACCCTTGGACAAACAGCCATCGATATATTTAGTCGAACTCTAAATTCTGAACGTGCGTTTTCACGGTTATTTCATTCGAGCAGCTAGCTCACCAGCCCGCAGCACAACGCTCCCCTGATACCAGTGCTATAGCAAAAACGCGCACCAACAACAGTGCGACCGCATTGCTTTTCTGCCAATGCGTATTCACCACATTAGTGTAACGGAACAAAATTTCTGCTTCAAAACCTTATGCCCGTCATTACCCTAACAGCATAGACCCCCACAGCCGCACATAGACACACACATCATTACTTCTCCTACAAAAAAAAATCATATTTTCGCATAGCACTTATATCTCGCATAAGATTTTGCAGTACAAATATAGTCACATATAAGTATAGTCTGTGTAAGTTTGTGCAATACAAGTAATGACGCGTGCCTAATGTAGCACCCCTGTCGGCAGGAGTGTTTGCCGTAACGCTCACGTCGTGGCAGCTGGCACACCCTAGCCCGCGGCCTGCGCAGAACACACCTGAACTGTCAGCTCCTCCTGAGTTCTGTTCAGCGGCATACAGTTGCATACTTTGGAGGTGGAGTTGGTCGTGGAGTTGTCAGAGACGCTTTCTCCCACATCTACGCCTAAGATAGCCGTCGCGTTCTGGAACAGGCGCCATAGCGATACATCTCACTTTATTCTTTGTCGGCAAAAACGCGAACAAAGGCATCGTCCACCTGAAGCTCATTAGTTCAGCATATACGGTGTGTTGTAAAAGACGTTGGTCTCTGGACTATGGACTGATCAGCGTGGTATTAGCACACGCCTGGATGGCCGCGTTAACGCGGCGCGCTCAGATGACGGGGAAGGGGGGGGGGGGATTTAACCAACTCATATATCAAACAACTGATAGAGCAAGGAACATCAAAGGACACCAACACTGGCGCGAACATTCCAAGGAAAGGGAAAAAGAAGAAAACGGCGCTCAATTCGCTCAATCAGTTTCATGTTCCATCAAAATGCGTCTCAGCTGACAATGCTTAATCCTCGCCGACACCTATACGCGCGACATGCAGGCGTATCGATGCAGCCATCTGTCAGGGCGACGCCACCCATGTTGATTAATTACACCAAAGACGGCACTTGACGACTGTTCGGGTGCCTACCGCCGGGCTGCCAGCAGACACTCGTGGCTGTGCATCACCATGCGGAGGAGTCGTGGCTTGGCAGCACCTTTGAACGACAGCACCCTTGACACGACTCCCTCACCCCGCGTCCAGGCCAGCCGCGTCCGTCTCCACGGACGAGTAGGCGTCACCCCTAGCTCGTCCGTGTGAGCCGCACTCACCCGCCTTCGGTCCGGGTCAACCTCGTCCTCCTCCGCGGAAGAGCCGACGGACGAGCCGGGCGCGTCCCCCCCTGGGCCGGCCGGCTCGGCCATGTCGTCGCCGGCCTTGCTGTGCAGCCACACGGACTCGGGCGTGTACTCGTCCGTCAGAGACGAGTCTCGCTGGCAGCGGCATGAGACACACGGCGTGAACATAACGTTGGATGGTCACACGGACACACACACACACACACGCACACACACACACACACACACCCAAACACACACACACACACACACACGCACAACGTGTGTTTGCGTTGAGCCTGCAGGTGACGTAACAGAACGCGCGCGCGCACGCACGCACGCACGCACGCACGCACGCACCCACCCACCCACCCACCCGCACCCCACCCCACCCGCACCCACACACACACCCACACACACACACACACACACACACCACACACACACACACACACACACACACACCACACACACACACACACACACACCACACACACACACCCACACACACACACACACACTAGTTCACACTTGATTCAACATGGATTTTCTGTTTTAATCTGAGTTTCTCAAGTCTGCACTGCCAGGCAGCGCGCAACAGGCATGCTACCGATACGACCCAGACTGGTCATGCAAGGCAACATGGTGTCAATTACATCGGCATACTGGCACACTGTACAGACGCCGAGTCGACGATACGTCTTTGGTGAAGGTGCTAACGGCGCCAACGACGTAACGATGCCAATGTACGTCAGTCCAACACTGGTGTCGGGCACAGCGCGTCACAGGGGGCGTATTCTGACCTTTAACAGAGATACATGTCTGGTATATGCAGATGACAGAAGTCGTGTAAAGTCCAGGCCGTAAAAGACATGCCGCAAAATTTGAGCACTGATGAAAGCAGCGTCCCAAAGTACAGGCGACTGTCAATTGCCGCAAGCATCGCAAACTTACAACAAAGTAATTGGGAGGACATTGTGCATAATTGAGATGCTACTGAGTTGTACGTGGCCACATGCGGTGCCATACCGACGCCAACGCATTGTGCATAATTGAGATGCTACTGAGTTGTACGTGGCCACATGCGGTGCCATACCGACGCCAACGCATTATGCACCATTGAGATGCACAATGCGTTGGTGTCGGTATGGCACCGCATGTAGCCACATACAACTCGGTAGCATCTCAATGACTCAGATCATCATGTCATCATGGTGATCATCTTTGTTGGTGGTCATGCAAAGGCAACATGGTGTCAGATCTTAATCATCTTTGCAGCCATCTGTCAGAGCGACGCCACCCATGTTGATTAATTACACCAAAGACAGCACTTGTGGACTGTTCGGGTGCCTACCGCCGGGCTGCCAGCAGACACTTGTGGCTGCGCATCATGACGCGGAGGAGTCGAGGCTCGGCCGAACGACAGCACTTTTGACACGACTCCCTCACCCCGCGTCCAGGCCAGCCCTGTCCACCTCCACGGACGAGTAGGCGCCACCCCTAGCTCGTCCATGTGAGTCGCACTCACCCGCCTTCGGTCCGGGCCAACCTCGTCCTCCTCCGCGGAAGAGCCGACGGACGAGCCGGGCGCGTCCCCCCCTGGGCCGGCCGGCTCGGCCATGTCGTCGCCGGCCTTGCTGTGCAGCCACACGGACTCGGGCGTGTACTCGTCCGTCAGAGACGAGTCTCGCTGGCAGCGGCGTGAGACGCGCGGCGTGAGCAGAACGTTGGATGTCACGTACACGCACGCACGCACGCACGCACGCACGCACGCACGCACGCTACGCACGCACGCACGCACGCACCCCCACCCCCACACCCACACCCACACACACACCCACACCCACACCCACACCCACCACCCACACCCACACCCACACCCACACCCACACCCACACCCACACCCACACCCACACCCACACACACACACACAAACTTGTTCACACTTGATTCAACATGGATTTTCTTTTTTTAATCTGAGTTGGTCAAGTCTATTCTGCTAGGCAGCACACAGCACGCATGCTACTGATACGACCCAGACTGGTCATGCAAAGACAACATGGTGTCATCTTTGTTGGTGATCACGTGGTGACATACTGACATTAACGCATTGCGTCAGTATGGCACCATTGAGGAGGCCCACAGAGCCACCTATAGCATCGTCAAAGAGCTTGTATCAGTACAGAGCCATTGAAGAGCCCCTATAAGAGCCACATGCAGCACTGTCGATGAAACGGCTGTATGACAATAGCACCTTGTGTGGTGAAGAAAGCGGAAATCACAAGTAAAAGATATCCCTTTGATGACCGAAGCATGTGGCACAGTACCGCACAAGTAATGTGTCCCAGTGATCCATGAGCATTAAACAGTCAAAAAATGTGAAGTGATATTCACTTAATATTGCTAAGATGTGAGACAATATTATGTTGACAATAGCAGTGCTAATGGCACCAAAAGCACTGCCCCTTCACACAACAGCAAGGCAGGATCACTTGTAATGACTAAATCTGTTTGCCTGTCATGTTCATTCATCTCTTGAGTTCATGGACCACACAGGCATAAAATATTCTTATCAGCAGTGATATCTGTATCAAACTCTGAAATCAAACAGTAAATGTTTGCCATGTGTTCTTCTTTTCCAAAAACACTGCATATTTTTATGACATTTATCCCAATAAACCCAAGTTTTTCTGTTTCACAACCACTGCTACACTTACTTGCATTCTCTCCAGAATCTGCCGAAGAGTTGGAGGCTCAGGGGTGTTATTCTCTCCTGATATTGCATCATGAAAAGCTGGGACAGACTCTTCATCTGCCTCCATGTGTTTGGCAGGGGTCTCAGTTTCTTCCCAGCTGTCCTGGGCTGATCCAGTCACTAGCAGCACTGAAATAAAGGCAATTGCTTAAACAACTAATTTAGGCTGTAATCATCTAACCATACATAAGACAATGATCTTCCTAAAGAGAACAAGGGGTAATCTTGGGGTTGGCATATCGGAAAGAACAGGCATGATATTCATTGACATTGAAATTCCATTCAACATAAGGCTATCAACTGGCTCATAAGGGGAAACAAGATAATTCAATTGGTCCTACCAAAGACATCTTAGTTGGCAAAATGAGATGTTGCAGCACACATGATTGCCAGAGCATGAATTTATATGGTGGTCAAATTCCCAGGGTATTGCAAAAAAGCAGCACCTGTCTTCTATTGGTAATGCCAAAATGAATCAGTCAAGAACCATGCTATCAGTCAGGAAAGAGACACTCATATATACTCCAGTATAACCAGCCCTCCACCCAGCTTCCTTGACTTCAAACATCAAACAACAGAAAACATAACACAAGCCAAAACATGAAGCAAATACAAACAAATGCAAGACCAGAACAATCACAAAATGCATTAGATCCAAGTTTAGATGTAAGTATGATATAAATCATTTCCATCTTACTGAGCATCTAAGTATTCAAACATTCACAAAAACCACACCTGCATGCTCCACAGTGACTTAGATACAATAGGCAGCAGGTTCCTACAATGTCAGAGAGCAAGAAATTAGCTGTGAATCACAGAATTGCCCACTTCCATCCCTTGGAAAATCAACAATTGCTGTCAACAAAGAAAGAAATATTGAATTACAAGGTCTACTTAAACCATGAACTGCTTGAGCACTTAATGTACAATCCACAATTTGATATGCTGGCTATTACTGAGTTTAGTAGACATGAGTATTTTGGTGGACAGTTGCACCTTTGATAAGTAGGTGTACCCCATGCACAATGCAGATAATGATCCATGAGAGGGGTGTAATTTTCTCTATGGTAAGGTTTAAGGATGCTCCAGCCCCAATACTTGAAGACAATGGGCCAATCCATGAAGCAGCCAGCTAGCTTGCATGTTTCCACAACATGATTTGTTATTTTCAGCTGCCCAGTCCCCTCCCAGCTCATGTTGCAAAACTACACTTATGTCCCTCATGAGCATCCCTACACCTCCTACACTTACCAAAGGCTAACAGATGTATGATGGGAGGACAGTGCATCGTTAAAAGGAGGAAGCAAGAATATTAAAGCGCTATACGAGAAGCCTTCAATTCCTACATTACGTAATTCTTGACATGCCTGCCCAAGGCAGCGTCATTTGAACCGCAATAACTCTGCGGGCGCCTTACGCAAAATGTTTGTAATTACCACGTCCGATCACCAAAAGTTGTCCACGCACAACTACTAAACGCGGCCGGCGGACCGATTTTATGGCTAGACGTCATAGGCTATGCACATCAAAACTCTTGATCTTTTTATTGAATCGGTAGCGCATTATTTGTCTGAAATTTACCTGCCATATTACCCAAAACCTCTAAGCTTATATTTTCCCTTTGCGTGACGTCGCCGTGATGCGAAAAAAATTACCGGCTTCCTTACACGCTGAACGACGCGGCTGCTGCGATCGTGGTGCGATTTCCTGCGTGTTTGCTTGTTTTATTCGGGCAAGACGATGGACTTACCTTGCGACTGAAATTCCAACTAAAGTAAGGAGGTTGTTGGGTGCAGCTTAGCTAGATGCGTCAAAATGTACTTAATTTGAGGGAGACCCAGGGCAGATGGTATAGTTGGGCAGGAAATTTTGTCGTTGGAATGCAAATTCAGCTGAATCCTGTGGTTTTTTCTCAAGATGAACAGTTCAGCGGCTCATTTGCCTTAAGAGAATATTAGTTTTGTACGAAGCATCTGGAGTACCGCATTATGCCCATGTTTAGGATATTTTTTATCAGAGTGTGGCTGGCAACATGGTGTGCAAGTATTACTGACATGAACCACTAAATCAGTGTAAACTGTTGCCAACCATATAGTAAGATGTAGTTGGGTGTGAATATGATTGATAAGTTTGGCAAAGAAAGCTTTGGTGCCAACTTAATTCACACCATGCATATCAGCATTGTTCATGTTGATGTTCATAGTGAGCTATGAACTGTGCCAACATGTGGTTTGTGCCATGGTTTGGCACAGTTGGAAATGCTTTTATTTGTGGCAATGCATATGATGTGAGAGTATTAGGATTCCATAAACTTGTGATATACATTTTCCTTCTATTTATGCTGGCTTAGCAAAAGTAGCTCATAATGATTTTGAGGGTATGTTTTACTTGTTTTATGTTGGAATTGGTGAAAAAGGCCTTAGTCAGTTTTCATGTACAAAACCTGGTTGCTAACACTGATAATATGATATAAGTTGGCATGAGGTCTCTCTGTAGTGCATTGCATAAATACAGTAAAACAATGTTTAAGGTGCACCTGAGATCTCTCAAATCTGCCCATCCATCACCCATTGCATTATGAACTTTTACAGTAATGTTTCAATACATGTGTATTATTTTTCAGTTCTGGTTGAAGAAAAAATGCAGAGACCTAGCCTAACTCTTGTGTTATCAGGCATTTTTATTGCCTATATCCTCCACTCATTATGGACCATAGCCTCATTGTTTCTACATCCAACATGTCAAGGAGCATCCAAGGATTGTCTCCAGTCTCATCTGAGCACCAAACCAAAGCTACAGGTAAACATTAATTTACACATGCATGTTTCATTATTTGTGGATGCTTATGCACATATTTGCTTTTATTGATACTCATTGATGTGCATACTGATCCTAATGATCATCATGTTCTCAGTGTTTGAACAGCTCATGATCAATAAGATGATATTTATTTTTATATGTTCAGCTGATCATAACTTTTTCCATTCACATTGCATACAATTTCAGCTGCTGCTGTATGTGTCCAACTCTCCAAACATTCAAAGAGGCACTGATATGGAACATCTAGGAAGATGGACAAGCCTGGACTTATCAGAGGCAAAGGAAGAGTGAGTCAAACTATAGAAGTATTTGTCTGTAACAGAGTGCATATATCTTCAGTAGCAGACCAGGCTATCTCAGAATTTGTGTGTAGCTCTGATTGGTGTTACTTACAATATGCCAGAACCTATGGGTAGAACAATGTTGGTTAAAGAGCATCCCAGGCTCAGGTGTCACTGGCACAGGTTGTTCCTGATCATGGCTCAGCTGTCACTGGCTCAGTTATTCAGACTCTGAACTGCCACTGGTTCAATAATCATGGACCAGTCTTGTTAACTGCCAGCACAGTGGTTTCTGGCTTGGGGACTCATAGTTGAAATAATGCTCTTAACATGGTATTGACTGGCTCTGTAGTGAAAATTTGCGTGAGAGGCTGGGGCACATTTTGTCATAGCAGCCTTACATGTCGTGAAGCTCGCACAATTCGCCTGTTGATATCGAGCTCAGGGTAACAAGGCCTGACTTACCCCAGCACTTCCCACCATGAAGAGCTAGCAATTACTGATGAAGGGTGGTATCTCATTTTCAGCAATAGATGCGAATTTGAACATAGTCACTGGCCATTGCGTGTAGATGCTTTCCTGTCAATAATAGCACGTCGAGTTATTACAGACGTTCGTCATTCATGGAATGCGGGAAGCTAATATTCGTAGGTTTTCAGTGTTGAAGTTAGATGCAAATCCAAAGGATATACAGTTTTATCCGGTATATCACGGTAGCTTTCTGCATGTCGCGGGACCAAAGTGATCCGTGTGAACGTGACGAAATAATTGCTCTCAGCTATCCGAGTGATGAGTGATGCACGATTCGACGTCCGGTCCTGTGATGGCGCTCTGTTGCCTGCTCTGTTATGATCACGTGGCGGATGCTCCTGAAAGCCCCAAACGCCATCGCCCTCAGTGCTCGTTCCGCGCTGTGGCCTGCCCTTTTAGTGCTCTGCTCGGCGTCCGCAGACAGTTTTCGGTGTCGGTGCCAAGCCGCTCCCAGCTGCGCCCAGACAGTCTGCACCTGCCCGCCTGTTCTGATCCCCGGATATTCGCAGACAGTTCGCGGTGTCGGTGCCGAGCCACTCCCAGCTGCACCCAGGCAGTCTACACTTGCACGCCTGTTTTGATCCCCGGATATTCGCAGACAGTTCGCGGTGTCGGTGCCGAGCCGCTCCCAGCTGCGCTCAGGCAGTCTGCATCTGCACGCCTTCCTGACGCCGATGCCAGCGGCCGGTCGGCGCTGGCAGGACATGATCAGCAGTCCGCTGGCCTCGTACGCGCGGGCCCAGCTGATCCAGAGCCAGCTGCCCGAGACGGAGGCGTTCAACCTGCTCGGTGGCGAGGACAAGGTGAGACCGGCGGCACGCGCTAAAGAGGGGCTCAAGTTTAAGATAAACTAATGAATGTTCAGTGCTGACGAGTTAATGTTGGTTTCATTGGCGAACATGGTATTTTGCCTATAGTCTTGCACTGGTCATTTAATGGTGGCGGTTAGGCTGTAGGATAACCAGCAACAGGCTAGTAATGTCACAGTGTGACGTCGCTTAAGTCACAGAGCCGTAGATGTAACACATGTTGAAGAGGATTAGTCTCTAGGGAAATGGTGACGGGGAAATACAACAAAACGGATCGATGAAATATATTTACCTAAAGATATGGCCCGCAGCAGTGTGGGTGAAGTTACTTCACTAAGGTATATTTGCGTTGTGTACTGTGTTGCACCCAGTTGACATGAGAGTGCTGAGGTTTAGGCTTGAGATAGGATTTGCGGAATGTTTTTGTATTGACCAGAAGAGACGCAATAGCGTTGTTTTCACTCGCACATATCAGCGCAGGGCCACGGGTGATGTGAGCTAAAGTTGAGCTAATTTGAGCTAATGGAGCTATTTTTCCTACCCTGCGCATGGAGTGACATTTCTGGCGGCGTGAATGATTCGCGGACATAGGGATACATTTTAAGCGTACCTCACTGGGATACCGTGGCTCATGGCAGGGTTTGGTGGAAACGCGATTGTCCTGCGATCACAAACACGTCCGACGAAGCGTCAGTAACGGGAGGTGCGCGCATTCGACATCCTACAATTGCTCAGCGTTGACCTGGTGCCCGACCTTCAGAAATGCGGCCCGGCCTCGGGTCTGAAAACGCGGAGACCGGTTCACATCAGTTGTGATATTCATCGTCATAGCTCGCCACTGGGGTGGTAGCCTATCACCAGTGCATGCGCGCTGTTGGCTTTCGTCAGGTCAAGAAGAACCCGGACAAGAAGGCGGGCGCCGCGGGCAAGCCAGCTCCGCACCTGAGGAGCCACGTACCGCTGCAGGTGCTGGCCGAGGAGGCTGGCCTGCCGCGACACAACATGGCGCCCGACGTGGCCGCCCTGGTCAGCCACCGACTCTCGCCAGACGGCAGGTCAGGGTCTACCGCCACAGGGCAACGGCGGGGTC